AAAGGGGCTCGTTGAAATCAGCTACGTGAACATTGTTAGTCTCACTTTCGGTTTTTCTTGAGTTCCCATCCTGGCGAGGGAATGTGTGCATATATTTACCTATAAAATTCGCCCTATGGAAAACCTACTCCCTCAGGACTTTAGTGAAAATTATGGTTTGCCTTTTTAAAAGCAGCAAACTTTTTTTTTGTTTGTTTGGGTACTGTGTAGGTACTTTTAATTGCATCAAAGTATTTGAACTTTGTGTAAGTGTGCACAGGCAGTATTTTAGTGCAAGATTAAGAAACCCTGATAACTTTAGCAAACTGTTTAAAATAAATTTCTGACATAATTCAGCAGATTCGACTAATTTATTTCATATGTTTATAAAATCACTCATTTACAGTCAGTGTCCGTAAACACAAATCTGTGCCAGACCACTCAGTATTTGCATGCTGTGTCTTTTCAGTGTAGTGTAACTTCTCATTGTGGCTTGGTCCTTCCAGATTATATTTATATACTGAATTCTCTAACAGTACATGTGTTGCGGATGATAACGACAAGGCAGGGTAGCCAGAACAGCTGATATAGTAAAATCAGGCAAACCCGCCATTTCTGATGCCATTATCCTTATGTGCTTTGCTGGAGTGTTACCATCAAGAGATTCTCCTTTGGGTTACCTTGGTTATAGCTAGAAATAATAATCTGTTTCAATATGGTAGGAAAGCTTGCTGTGAATTTCGCTAGCAGGACTGTTGAGCTAGGAGCTGATGCTACATGTCTGTAAAGTTTCCCTAATGTTACGCTTGTTTTCTTTCTGTGACTTTCAGATTCAGGAAGAGACAGAAATGTGGAAAATAAGGGAGTGGGAGAAACAGACAAAAGAGACTTACTGGAAAAGGCAAAGCAGAATGCTGTCGGACACCTCCAGGTGGGTTTTAGTTGTGTGGAGGACATAATTGTCTTGACTTAGTTTCTGAAGCCTTTTGTGCTCTAATACTTTAAGAGCATTCTATGATGACTATGTGTTTACAATATATGAAGACTACATAGACTACAGATATATTTTTTCTCTCCCTAATGAGTCTCTTGAAAGATGTCGGACCTTTGCGTAAGTCTGACCTTTTATGTCTTCATTTGGACGTATAGTCTTCAAAATACAACGTTAAGTAGGCCGAGCTCTCTGAAGCAGCGGGGCTAGGAAGTGCTTAAGTAATATCTCAGAATGTTGTGAGGAAAGTCTAATGTATTGCCGTTTAGGTTAGCTGTAAACGAAACTGTTGTGGTGTGGGGTTCTGTACTATTATAACACACCAGTATTGACTGCTGCTTGTGTGGTATCTGTTAAATCACTCTGACATGCCTGAGGATCTCACAAGCTACATGAAAACAAGCTGGGTTTAGGGTGAGGGTTTTGCAGGGGAGAGACAGGGCTTACTACCCGACCTCTGAAGACTTCTCAGAACTGTGAATATTGCAGGAAGTGGTTTTAGTATCTCAGGGGAGAACACCTTTTAGACTTACCTAAGTCCACGGCTGCTGCTTGGCTCAGGAAGTGCAGCGTTTCAAGTGAGAAACAAAACTAGAGTCATAAGCATGTGAGATCATTCAAAACTGTTGGTGCTTTCTGCGGATTTGGGGTCTTAGTCTTGGTACCTGATCAAGTTGCAATTCTAGTAAGTCAGTTCTACTTCTTCAGTTTCCCCTTTGCTATTTCTACTAGCCTGTGTCTCACTGCATAGTGTTAGTCTGTTCCTGCAGAGTATTCTAGAAGAAAACTGCATTTGTTGTGACAGGCAAGATGACCCCTTCCTCTAATTTTGCATTGTGAGCATCTCTGCCAAGAATTTTGCTGTGCATAGAGGGCTGTAGGAGATTTTGAAAACCCGTGTTAGCTACTGAACTGGTTTTGTGAGAGCTGTTAATGGTGACTGTCTGTTAAAATGATAGCTCGTCTTCTTGCATAGATGGACATCCAAGACTTGCTGGATTTTTGCTCTACTCGCTGGACTAACCCCTTGCTCAGAAAATTTCTCCATCAGAGCTGACAGCTGAAGGACAACTGTTCTCTTTCTGCAGCAGTCGGATGCGCAGTGATGGCTTTGATGAGGAGGGCCACAGGGCTGACTGGAAAACAAAGAACTCACAATTTCTTGACCCAGTCGAAGATGGTCTCCTTAGGGCCCGATCCTGGAATAAAAAGCTGTATGAATGTGAAGCCAACATGCCAGACAGGTCTGTGGGGGAATTAATGTTCTGTGATTGTACCTGTAATTAAAACACCTTTCTGGAGTTCATCTATAAAGTTCAGTAAGCAGCAAAAGCTCAGCCCTAAGCTTAGCAACTAAGCTTAGTATTTATTACTTTACCTAAGGAACTTAAAAAATCTCGAGAAATGCAAGTTAGTGCTCTCCAGGGTTACTTTAAAGAAATTTGAGTTGTAGTTTTCCCTAATTAGAAATGGAAAAGAGACTGAAAACATAAGGTGTATTTAAATAGTACCAACCAAATCAGTCATATTTCCTTCCTTCTTTGTTGGGAAGGTTCTGATATCCCTCCTTTGCTATTTAAGCTCATGTTCATTCTATGGCTCTGTCTTTTCAGAATTTTTTGCTTAAACAACTTGTCTGTTTTTAATAGATGGTTCTGCTTTCTTACAGATGGGGTCACAGTGGCTATAAAGAGTTGTACCCTGAAGAATTTGATACAGATAGGTGAGGCAAGCAGACTTACTAACACATCCAGAATCTTACTTCTGTCAAGTTATGCAGGGAATTTTACAACTGAGTTTTAAGTTTTGAATGTAAATCAGCCTTGAATGTAAAGCAGCACTGTTTAGTTAACAGACACTCACTGAAAAAAATCTAATCCATTAATGTGGTTTCCCCTTGTTTGAGTCTTAGGAGGGGATTGCATCTTTTATAGTAATTAGATATTCAGCTTTAGCTTGAGTTACTAAAATGCTGTGAATCTGGAAAGTCTGTCTGGGCCAACCGATAGCCAGAGTAGTAGGCTAAATCCAAATCAGCTCAATATAACCCTCACACATATCAGCTTCATGTTCTCCTTTCCATTATAGTATACCTGTATTTTCTGTGTTTCTCCTTATTTGAAGAATATAAATTCATGCAGTATCCTGGAGAGTGGAGACTTAACTGTAAAGTAAGATCTTAGACAGAATTAATTATTTTTAAACTGCACCTAACAGATTCATCAAGTACAATATTTGTCAGGCTTACAGATTTGAAGTAACCCTCTATAAATGAGTTTTCATCACTCAGTGGCTTTCAGTACACATTCTCCTTGGTTCTGGCTCAAATATCTTAAATGGAGGTATTAGTAAGATGTGGACCCAAGCTGTTAACAAGCGCTTGAAACAAAATACAGCTACCACATCTGTCAAATATCTGCTTCCCTGCTCTAGCTAAATGAATTGATGAGCTTGCTTAAGTCTTTGAGACAGAAAAGGTTCAACTGCTATGTGCCTTCCTGTCTGCTTCCTTTTGGTCATCCTTTGTTCTTTTTACAGTGACCAGCAAGAAGGAGATGAACAAAATACTATCAATGGGAAGAAGAAATCTCATGTGGGAAAGCAAACTGCCCGTGAGTCACACAAACGGAAAAAACCAAATAAATCACACAAGAAGAAGCAAAAAAAGCGATCACACAAAAAGCGAAAGAAAAAGAAAAAGGAGCAGGGAAGAACATCATCAGATTCTTCCCGGGAGAGCGAGTGCTCAGAAGAGGAGACTTCAAGCACCCGGAAAGGGAAACACAAGCGCAAGAAAAAGACCAGGAAAGTGCCTGCCAGGGAGCCTACCTCTTCTTCTGGGCAGGAAAGTGACTTTTCTCATGCAAGCAGCTCAACCACCAGCAGCTCTGAGGACAGTGAATCTCAGGAGAAAAAAGAGAAACGGCCCCCAAAAAAGAGAAAGAAACGTCACAATTCTGTGCCAGAGAGGCACAATGAAGTACCAGAGAAGAGAAGCAAGAGGAAGAACTGGAAAGTGGCCGCTGATGAAAAATCAGAGGATAGCTCAGATGAGGACTGATGAGTCTAGGCTGCAGCTCAAACAATAAGGTAGAGGACAGAGGCAGGTATTTCTCTTTCAGCACTGCCCCATGGTACAACTTGTTTCAGCACTGTGGTTTATATACATCCTGCCAGCCCACGGGGGAGAAAATGAGCCTTGGCAGCCTGCAGTAGGTGCCCCCTTGCTTTTCATTGACTTGACATTCAGAAAACCAGGGGAGCAGTTGCCTGTCTCACAGGTTGGCTAGTCCTGCCAACTTCAGTCTTTCTGTGACAAGGTTGACTTCTCATGCACAAAAATGTTACAGGCTGTCTGCAAGGGGAAACCAGGCATGTTTGCACCATTTTTATTTTTTTTAATTAAGTTTTAACAGATTGCTTTTTTGGGTTACCAAATCAATGACCAAGACTTGCAATAGGAGAAGGGAGAGACAAAAAGTCTGATAAGAGAGGAAATGTCACTGGATTTAACCCTACGGTAGCTTTGTCTTCCCATCCTCCAGCAGAAGCAGACCTGTGTGGCGACATGCACATGGTCAGCTGGACACAGAAGGGAGCATGAAGGAATACTTTCATTCCAGCTGAAGGTGCAGTGACTCCTTCCATGATGATGAAGAAAAGACACCAGTGCGTCTTGCTTGTTTTAGACTTGTCTCCAAGTCGTGCCATGGGCTGGCCGTTGTGTCTACCTTTCCTTCATTCTCTCTAGGGGGATGCTGAAACCATTTGTGCTTGAGAGAGAAGCCTTGGTGGGTGTTGTGTTCTGTCTCTGGTCTGCCCAATGTATTACTGGAGAGATTGGTACTGGGCCGTTCTCCCTGCAGTTGAACAGCCAAGCCTTTTAACAAAATAAATAAATCCAGACATATTTGATGCTTTTGTCATTGTTTTGGAGTGAAGCCCAGGGACAGAGCACAGGCCTGAGGAGTCTAGGTGGTCCTTGTGTTCTCCCTGTGCCACGTGTTTCTGCCTGATCAGACCAGGTGGCTGTGGAGGGCTCAGAGGAGATGAAGCAAGGGAGGCTGGAGTGGAACGTAGCCATCAGGGAAATGCACTGCGCTGAGGTGAATGTTGTGCGCCGGTGACGGAGCGCAGCTCCAGCTTTATTCTATGCATGAACAGGTACAAAACAGTGCCAATGCCCCTAGGTCCTCATTCCGAGTCCTGCCTACTGGCGCTCTTTCACTTCAAGTGAAAAGACATTCTCTGCATGCCGTTGTCTGCTGGCGAATGCAGAAGACTTGGAGAAGGCAGTGCTGCAGACTTGGCTTGCTTTCAGCTGCTCGCTCTTGTCTCGCAGCCACTTCTCCGCTGGTCAGTCACGCAGTAACAATGCAACTGCTTTGCGTGCATCGTGGGAAGCGTTCAAGGTGTTTATTTTGTATAGCTTCCCTCATACAAAGACTTTTTTATCAGCAAACGTGCAGGTAAGGAGCGCCCGGATCCGCTGTGGCCGTTGTTGTGGATCG